TCTCTCTCTCTCAAACAAATAAATAAATAATTTTTTTTTTTTTTTAAAAAGGATAGGATGGGGCTGCCTGGGTGGCTCAGAGGGTTAAGCCTCTGTCTTCAGCTCAGATTATGGTCCCAGGGTCCTGGGATCAAGCCCCACATCGGGGGTGGGGGGTCTCTGCTCAGCGGGGAGCCTGCTTCTCCCTCTCTCTCTGCCTGCCTCTCTGCCTACTTGTGATCTCTCTCTCTGTCAAATAAATAAATAAATAAAATCTTTTAAAAATATATTAAAGGGCACCTGGGTGGCTCAGTGGGTTGAGCCTCTGCCTTCGGCTTGGGTTATGGTCTCGGGGTCCTGGGATCGAGCCCCAAGTTGGGCTCTCTGCTCGGCGGGGAGCCTGCTTTCCCCTCTCTCTCTGCCTGCCTCTCTGCCTACTTGTGATCTCTGTCTGTCAAATAAATAAATAAAATCTTTAAAAAATATATATATTAAAAAATAAAAATTAAAAAAGGAAAGGAGAACTGAATAGAGTCTCTGCAACATGGAGAGAGCTTTTATCCATCAACTAGGATCAAATTATGCTGCAGTAACAACCATCCCAAAATTTCAGTGGTTCACAACAAATGTGTTTTTCTCACTGATATTCTTTGACCTGTGAGCGGCAGCCCCCCTCCCCTGTAATCAAAGGCTCCTCATACCCCTCCCTTGTCCTTGGAATGTCCATTTGGCTTGACTTCTCTGCCCCCAGAGGCTGCCCCAAGGATGCAGCCTTGAGAGAGCACTGTGTTGTTGAGACCATCTGGATGGTAGACATGACTGAACCCAGCGAAGGCCTCTATAAAAACTTTTTTTTTTTTTAAGTAGGCTTCATGCCCAACATGGAGCTTGAACTCATGACCCTGAGATCAAAAGTCACACGTTCTACTTACTGAGCCAGCCAGGCACCCCAAGGCCTCTATATAGATTTTTAAGATTTGGTGGGAGGTGCAGAGATCTATGTGTCTGGTGGCATGTAAGTCCCCTTGCTTCTTAACCCCACCGGGTACTGATCTGCGGTGGCCTGCCTCTTTGTTCAGTCTCTCCCTGTGCTCTGTGTACAGGGGCTGGTTTCAGGTTTCACTTGGGAAGCTTCTGAGGATGTTGTGAACCAATGTCCTCCATGGGACAGCTGTGGCTCTGTTCTACTTCATCTTCATTCCAGAATCGTAATCTAGTCTGAAGGAACAGCCTCAATCTGGAATCCTTCAATCTCAAGACAAAGAAGAGAAGAAAGGCATCAGGCCCCGTGATGGCTCTTAAAGCTTCCTCTTGGAAGTGGTACATGTTACTCCTACTCGAGTTCCTTGGCCTGAAGCAAGCCACATCCCCAAAGCTGATATCTGTGGGGTAGGGAAATATATTCTCATATGGTGGGGCCCCACAGCAAGGGTTAATGAACGATGGGTTTTGAACAATTGTGAAATCTTCCTAGTCTGCCTTCTTTGTCACAAATATGGCCTTTGTGTTTTTTCTACATGCAAGATATATACATATCCTTCCCCAGGGAGACTACCCAAATGACCCATCTAATCACGGCATCATGCTCAAGTCCAGGACCACTAATAGTCTCGTATCAGGTCCAGAGGTAGCTTCTCTTGATCCAGAGACCTATGAACCAAAATAATCACCACCACCACCACCACCATCATCATCATCATCACCAGTTATCTCTGCCCCCACTTCCTCATGCACATCCAACATCTGAAGTGGAACAGGGATGGGATAATAGCAGTAAACACTCCCATTTAGAAGGAAGAATGGGAGACACACAGCAACTTACTGATCCATGGTAACTGCAGCATCCTGCTGGGCAGATGTTCGAAGGCCCACCACCTTTACCTGGGGGTGGGATTGCTTCCTGGAGCTAGTTCCCTGGTTCCCATAGAGTAGCTCATCCTTTCCCATTTATTCTCCTTGGCCACATTTGAGAAAACATTGGAGGTTATGCCCTTCAGAGGCAAAGTAGCTTTCTGTCTCCTTCATGTCCATAGAAATTTGGGAGCTCTCAAGATCTTGAACACTCATGGTCTTTTGAAAATCCAAGCTAGTGGCTTTTGTGAGGAGGGAAAGAAGCTTCTTATCTATTTGATTCCAGTCAGTTCTATGGGCTAACTGCCAAACCCACAATTCTTTTCCGACATGCCTCTCTCTTTAGAGTTAATTGTAAGCAAATGAAGCCTACTAACTCCTCTGGGAGAGTTGTACTCTTAATCTCTCTTTTCTGAATCACCTCCACTAACTGAAAGGCTTTATTTGGAACCACTTTGATCAATTCAGAGGTTTTTACAAAAGGCATGAAAGCCATACACTTGATTAAGACCCTTGCCACAAAGATGAATTTCACTCAAACTTTTCAGCTTAAGGGCTTTGTCAACTGTATCTTTCATTGCTTAAAAATATAGATCACCTGCCTGGACTTTCTATACTCTCTTCCATTTCTGCTTAAAAACTGGCCAATTATTTTCAGAGTTATCTCTTTCTCACAGTAATTTGTCAAATGCACCCCCAAAGCAATCAAGTCATGCTGCTGATATTCTTTCTCAAATTCTTTTTTCCCTAAAGGCCCAAGCTCATTTGGACATGATTTATAGTCTTACTTATTTCCAGCTTACAGTTTCACCAAATGCTTCACCACAGCCTAACACACCACCATCTTTCCAACTTCTGCGATGGTTTCCTCATCAGCTGCTGTCCAGCTCCAAAGCCAATGGCACATAATTCAGGTTCATTTTTTAATGTGGTAGCGCCCCGCTTCTGGGTACTAGCTCTGTGACAGTTGGTTTAGACTTATTCTGATGTGGCCACAACTAGTCTTCAAATATCAGTGGTTTGCAGCAAATGGGAAAAGAAAAGGCAAACTGCCAGCCTACTCACTGATACTTAAAGCTTCTATCTGAAAGTGATACTTTACATTTCTACTCACAATCCATTGGCCAAAGCAAGACATAGAGCCAACCCCTAAGTGGGGCACGAATGGATACAACCCTATAGTGAGTGGTCCAGTAGGAAGGACAGTATATATTGGGAACAATAATACAGTCTATCACAGGGTTGCACAAGAAATGTCAGTCATTGAGCCCATCCACTCCTCCTTTATGCACACTCTGCCACAGTGTTTCATACCATATAAACACTTCACATACATCATGATCAAGGGTAAAGTCTTGACCCGGCTAGACAATTTATATGTTATTTTTCCTGGTAATTTGAACCATAAAATACTGAGTGAATGAGGCAATAAGCAGGGAGAGCTACAGCTGAAAAGTTATGATGCAAGATGGATTTGGAAAAACCACATCCGGGCGCCTGGGTGGCTCAGTGGGTTAAGCCGCTGCCTTCGGCTCAGGTCATGATCTCAGAGTCCTGGGATCGAGTCCCGCATCTGGCTCTCTGCTCAGCAGGGAGCCTGCTTCCCTTCCTCTCTCTCTGCCTGCCTCTCTGCCTACTTGTGATCTCTCTCTCTCAAATAAATAAATAAAATCTTTAAAAGAAAAAAAAAAAGAAAAAAAGAAAAACCACATCCAAACAAGATCCTGTTCTCTGAAAGTTGGGCTGACAGCAGCCAAGAGAAGATTTCAGTGTAAAACCTGCCCTTAAGCCCTCATTCAGGTCAGTTTCCCCCAGTGAAAGGGTATATGCGGGGGAGGCTGTGAAATGTCCAGTGCACAGGTCCACCTGACTGCTAAGTCTGCCCCAAACTTGCCACTCACCTGTTCAAAAACCTTCTATGTGTCCCCTAGCCCACAGGAAAAGTTCAAACTACTGGGCCTGGCATCCAAGGCCTCACTCGGCCATCTAGTTAGGTTTGTCAGGAGGTTCTAGACCACTTCCTGGGGCAGACACATAGGCAGGCTTTCAGGGGTGGCGCCGTCCAGCAAAGCCAGTCCCAAGTCATATACCACACACTGACACCCCAGGTGCATAGATGTGACTCCGTCTCGTCACAGATCTGATAGTCTCTATCAGATCCCAGTAGCTGCCAACGGGTTGTGCAGTTTTCCTCCGAAGGAGAAAGATGAGGGGGTGGACAAAGGCGACCGAGAGGACAGTATTCCGCTGAAGATGCAGGCCACAGGGGAAGAGATGGAGAATTAGGGAAGCCCGGAGGCCCCGTATCCAAATCAGTCTTCTACTGGGACAAGATCCGTCTGGCCCCGCGGTTTTCCCATCGAGTGGACATCCAGGTTGTGTTTGCACACTGGTGAGAACGAGGAGCTCTTTCCTGAGGTATCTAGGGCTTCATCTGTATTCAGGACACATTGTCTCCGGCAGGACCAAGGCGTGGGTAGCCTCCCAGACTCGAGCAGCTGCCAAGTTCTGGGGCTGGGGAGAGGGACCCAGCCACTCCTTCTGGAAAGAAGTCCCCGACTCACCTATCCTGGTCAGCCCCTCTCAAGCCTGTACCCGCCCCCTCGCAATTAGAGGTTTGGTCATGCCCCGCCCTATGATCCAATCACTTTCGGGGGTGACTGAGGACTCACTGAGTCCTCATATCCGCAGACGGCTGGTTGTGGTTTAATCACTCCCCAAGGCGTTCCCTGGACGAACTACAGACCAATCCTTAACGCTCCTTAGGAAAAACATTTAGTTCCGCGGGCCAATTGTTTTCCAGTTTTGGCCAGGCCACGCCCCCCACGCCCAGGGCCAAGCAAACGCTGGGACCTGGCGCACGCGCGTTGCAACTGCCAAGCCAGAGTCTCTCTAGGGCCACTGCGAGGCGCTGCCGGCGGGTACCCAGGTGGATGGAGGCAAAGCAGGCCAGGGTCGTGGGGGCCTAATCCTGCCCTCTGGCTCCTCCCCAGGCCAGGTCCAGGGGCAGGGTCCGAGACTGCACCAAGGACAAGACCAAGGGCAAGACTGCCCTTCTAGGGCTCGCGTTACCCCAGCACCCGAAGAAAGCGGTACTGCAGGCCAGATGGGCTGGGCAAGGGCAGGTTGGAGCAGCAGCGACGACAGCAGCAGCAGGGACCTGTGGGATCGAAAGTGGGATGGGTCGGGGTGGCTGGAACCCGGCACCCAGACCGTGGTTTGGGGTCAGGCGCCGCCCCACTCCAACCAGGCTTCAGAGCTGGGAGCTAGCTTTCCCCTAAAATCAGGTGTCTGGGGAAGGGACACCCAGCTCTGGAAACCAGGCTTCTGGACTTGGAACTCTTAGAAATTGAGAGTTGGGGTCTGGAGCTTAGGTGCCTCATAGAAACCTCATAGAAACCAGGGGTCAGGCTCTTCAGCCTCCTCTACTGCTTCAGCCAGATAACCCCTTAGTAATCAGGTGTGTTGATCCAGAGTCCCTGGCTCTCCAGGCCAAACTCTTGTCAAAGGCTATGCCTTTTTCTGGGTACAGGGCTGCTCTCCTTTGCCTGGTAACTCTCCCCCTGCTTCTTCCTTGTAACTGGCTCCTCCTCAATATTCCATTCAAATGTCACTCATTCTGAGATAGGCCTTTCCCTGTATACTGTATCTGAAGTAACAGCCTCCATTATTCACGGTGCCTCTCCCTGGTCTCCCATGCCCACCAATGCCCACACACATCTCACCTGGCCCAGGCTGGCCTGGCCCAGCTTCACTGCTCTGGGCTTAGGTACTCCCAGTAGTCTTTACCCAAGGGCAGTACTAAGCCAGATAGGGGCATTTGTCCCTCCCTGTCCCACCTGCTCCTGTGGGAGAGTAGAAGGGCAATGCCAGTTTCTGGGGTCACAGCACCTACAACAATCTGGTCTGAGTCTCTCTGGGCTGGGCCTGGCTCCAAGGATGGCCAGGAAAAGGGGAGGCTAGATACCTGAAGGCCCTGGGCCACCCCTTCCAGGAACACACACGCACAGGGCAGGCTCCAAGCACTTTTTTTTTTTTTTTAATTTCTTACAAAACCGTGTGTCCCCACCAAACAGGACGCCGCAGGCCTCCCCCCAGGCATTGTGGCCTGACTGGGGAAGCCCCCAAGAATGAGTGGCTGCCGACCCCAGGAGAACCATCTGCCCTCTGCATAGGGCCAGTGGGAGGAAGGGGTCCAGCTGGAGGCTCTGTCCTGCCCTCCCCCCTCAGCTGCCAGGAGCGAGGGCAGACCTGGGTCTCTGGTGCTTTTAGCGCCTGCAAGGGAAGGAGGGAGAAGAGGGTCTGAGGGAAGGAGGCAAGGCTGGGGCCTGGGATGAGGCAGGCCGGGGGGCAGGCCCACAGGATCTCACCAAGAATGTGCGATGCTCTCAAACCAATGTGGCGATCCCAATGATAACCGCCAAAATGACGACAGTGACAGACACACAGATGGCGATCAAGACCTTCTTCTGTGGGAGAGGAGTTCAGGGACACTCACTCAGGAGGGGAGGGAAGGCTACCGGGGTCGGGGAGGAGAGGGGAGGGGAGGGGAGGAGAGGGGAAGGAATGGGAGGGGAGGAGAGGCTCACCTTCCGGGCCTTCTTCTGGTTCTCCAGGGCAATCTTGACGTGTTCCTGCCCACGTTCCACATAGTCTGCGGAGCTCAGGATGTTCTTCTCGATCCGGTTGATCATCTCCCCCTGCTCAGAGGAGGGCGTGGTTCAGGCAGGTAGGGATGACTGGGGGCCGAGGGCCCCGCAACTCCTCTGCTTGTTCGCCCTAGTCGCCTGAAGGACATTTTCCGGCAGCAAACAGCACTAACAAGGTGCGGGGCAGGACCACAAAAGTTCACATGCCTGAGGGTGGCTTCCAGGCTCCCTTTTATCCTGTGGTCCCTTCTGCCCTGCTCCCTTACCCGCTACAACCTTCCTTTGTGACTTTGGGCCAAGTGCCTTAAGAGGCCCATACCTTTTCACAGAGTGTGGACTTTTGTCCCTTCATACATCTGTCTGAATTTGCCCATTCTTCTAGGCCTGCCTCTCAACAGCTGTGAAGCCCTCCCCACCCCTGCCTCCTCATGGCACCGCCAGCCTTCAGGTCCTGGTTCTCCTACTGAATGAAGTCCCTTCCCCGTGACTCCCAGCTGCACGAGGCTATTGGCTGCCGCACTAGCGAGTGAGCTCCCCCAGGACAGAGCCAGAAGCTTACCCTCAGCCATACAGCCAAGGGCCACAAAAGACCACCACCTCCCACCCAGCCTCATCCAGATTTGCGGAGGCAGGCCCTCTCAGGAGTGAGGGCCAGCCTGGGGGAGATGGGGGACGAAAGCTTCAGAGAGAGAGGCTTGAGGGTGGAGATGGGCTAACAGTCACAGCAGGGGTTCTGACTGAACATGGTCTCAGGTCAAGCCCAGCCAGCTGTCTCGGGGGCCCACCTGCATCTCCACTTCGGTAGCCAGAAAAGTGAAGATCTCATGAAGTTCACGGATACTGCGTTCAAGCTGCTGGATCTCACTGTGTCGAGCCGAGATCTCATTTAGGGCCTGTCGAGTCACCTGTGTGTCCTTCAGTATCTGGGGAGTGGACAGCAATGGACAGACAGGTCACAGGGAACCTGGCAGCAGGTCAGAAGTTCCCATTGAGCTCTCAGGCAGCCCTGGGACTTGGAACCGGGGCTGGGGCCCTGACACATGACACTAAGCATGCTAACTCCTTCCCCTCTGGGCCTCCGTATTCCCTCAACCAGAAGGGGCCAGGCCTCGGAGAAGATGAGAATCCCAAAAGAGGGAGGCTAAGCTGTGGCCACTCACATTGGACACAAACACCTCGCTTTGCCCACTGTCCAGCATCTGCTCCAGCTCCTCATCAGACACCATTCCAGCATTTGCTGTGAAGGGGAAAAGCCAGGCTCAGAGCTACGTCAGGTTACCTGACTCTGTGGACCAGACACCACAACTCACTGATCTTCAGCTGCCTCCGGATCCGCTCCACGTTCTTCTCCCGGTACTCGGACTGCGTCAGGTTGCACTTGTTGATGAGCTCCACGAATTGCTGGGAGAGGACCCCATGCTAATGGAAGAGAATATAGGCTGGGTACCCCAGAAGGATTTGGCCTCAACACCCCCACGAGGACAGCGAGCAAACAGCACAGGCTGTTCTAGGTGCCTGCCACCGCGGCCACCATTCTCTCCAAGTTAAAAGCCAAAGCCCTTTCTGGGCCTACATGACCCTCCCTTCCCCCATGTACCCTCTGACCTACCTCTTCCAGCTGTTGCCTCACTCCTTCTCTCCAACAATGGTGGACTCCTCCTGCCTCCACGAAAGCCACCCCCACCTCAGACTTTTGCATTTACTGCTCCCTGGGTCTAGAATGCTCATGCCCCACAGAGATCACCTTCTGAATGAAGTCTTCTCTACCTTACGAACACTGCAACCTGCTTTCTCCTGGCACTCTCCATCCCTCTTCTCCTCGTTTCTTTCCCTGAATACTTAATTACATTCTAAAATAATGTACATATTTATTAAGGTGTTTGTCTCTCCCCACCAGAACACAAGTTCCATGAGGCTAGGGCTCCGGGGTTCACTGCTGTATCCCAAACAGCTAAAAAAACAGCTAATAAACACCTGTGAAAGCTTGCTGAACACCAGCCTCACTGCTTAGACCAAAGGTGGGCTAGTATACCTGGAGGGCAGTCCACTTGCTGGATTTTACAGGGTCCATCTGGGCCCTCAGCCTCTCACACCAGGGACCACCACAGGCTCCCCCTGAAATGTCCTCTCATCTTGTCTTTTCCCCTGCCGCCTTCAATGTGTTCAATCCTTGGAGCACTTTCCTCAGAGACCTATCTGCTCTCCTGCCTTCAGCTGCACCCCTGCAGGATGCCCAAACGGCTCTATCTTCAATCTAGGGGACTTGCTGAGCTCTGGGCCTTCCTACTCCAACTCTGACCTCCAGGAAGTCCAAGTAACTCCTCACTTCTCCACCCAGAGCAGGGCAGTTAGATTGCCTCAAATCTCCTTGCTAAGATTTGATTCAGTGACCTTCCTCCTCCAGGGAAGTTCCTCTTGCTGACTTCTTGAATTCTGCTCATGGGGCAGAGGATGTCCCTGTCACGTGGGCAGGAAACCTCCCAGTTATTTATGACTGTTCCCCCTTCTTCCCTGGGCAGGGATATTAGCTACCAAACCCTATCTCAGTGAGGTCTTTGTCACCTATTCAAGCTTGACCTCCCATCTTGGTTTCTAGAAAGCATGCCTTCCACAGTCAAGCCCAGATCATATCTGGGGACCCAGCAACTTGTCACTGAATGGAGAAGGTGACAGGGTGTTAAGTGGACTGGGAATCGGGAGTCTTGACCTTGGGTGAGTCCTTTCTCTCTTTCAACCTCAGTTTCCCCATCTGAAAACCAGCTAATGATCCATCTAATGATGTGAAATGTCTTAGTTCTGGGACTAACAACCCACCTGTGTTTTTCTCATCCTTGTATTGACTGAGTTATAATTCTCATCAGCTTCCTCATTCTGGGGCTCTATGGCTGTGGGAAGACACAAGGGTATTGGTGGGGAAGGGGATTTGAGCTGTGATTTCAAAAAATCATGTGGAGATCAGGACACAGGGCCAGAGCCATACCCCATCCATATAACAGAGAGGTGCTTATCTCATGGGATTCTTTTGGGAATTATAATTTATCATAAATGACTAATTCTGAGCCTCTGATGGGAGAAAGTGTATTTTTCTTTGCAATACATCAGAGCATTCCCACAGGAATACAGAGGACTCTTTGAGAAACCCCCATCTGCTCCTCCAAAGAATGCACATTAGGCAGCAAAATTTATAGAAGTAAATGGTTTCCTTACAAATAAAGGAACTTAAGGGGCTGGCATGTGCTGTGAAAATACTATGTACTGGAAGCCAGGAGAAAGAGCTTCTAGGCCTAGGCCTGCTGTGTGATCTGGAAACATAACTGGCCTCTCTGGGCCACACACTCCCAGACATACCAGGAACTGGGCAGGACCACAGGGAAGGATCCATCTGAGGTCCTAGGGAGCTCACCCTTCAGCTGCGATCGGATTTCCCTCCCCAGCTGTTTGATCTCCTCGCGCAGGTTCTGCAGGTCCTGCTTCATACCTGAGCAAGAGAAACCCATGACTCCCAAACAGCAGCCCCTACCTCAACAAACCTCCCTGGCCACCACCTTCGCGGAACTACAATCCCCACAATCCCTCCAGCTGAGCATGCGTTTGCACTTGGGGTTTCACTCACTTTCCTCGGGAAGAGGCGTGGCCAGGATGGTGACCTGCTGCTTCTCCAACTCTCGGACTTTATTCTCCAGCTTGACAATAGTCTGTCGAATTGTCCGGACCTAGGGAAGGTGACCGAGAGGGCTGAAGGAGATATGGGGGTACTCCGGACCGCGCTGCAAATCGAGTCATCCAGCCCCCTCGCGAAGAAGACAGGCAGGACCCCAGCCTCTTACCTTTTGGAAGAACTCATCGTCCGGGCTCCCCAGCCGTGCAGTGCCCGGGTGTACCACCAGCGCGACCCGCTCCTTGTCCTCATCGTCCGAACTGTCATCCCCCTACCAGGGCCGGGGTCACTGGCATCATTTCCTTGCTGTTGCTCTCTCCCCGCAGGACTCAGGGACTTCCGGGTCTTTCCTTCCTAGCCCTCAGCCACCCCTCCCTGCCCCGAAGTCCAGGATTCCTGTATTCCAGCCAGACCCTGTCCAGTCCGCCCGTTCCCAACCCGGCAGCCCCCACTTCTCACCTGCCTCAGTTCGTGGGTCCTGTCGCGCATGGCGGTCCGAGTTCCCTCTCCCCCGTGCCGGAGCCCCGAGGGCCTCAAGACTAAGTTTTGGAACTCCTGTATCCCACTCGTACTCTGACACTGACACTCCCCCCCGCCCTCACCCTGCAGACCCCCAAGCTCCCCCACGAGCCACCAGAGGCTCTGTCCCGGGCACCATCCACAGTCAATGGGAAGAAGCCGACCTCGGGGAACCCCCAAGATCCCACAGGTTGGAATTCCCTTTTCTTTCCCCCCCTCCCGCTCCTGTAGCCTCGGCCCCGCCCCTCTGGGATGATCGGGGCATGCGCACGGGGTCGCGTCTCTTCCTCGCCGGAGGGAGAGGCTGAGGTCGGAAGCTGTAGCGCCCCGAACGGAAGCAAAGCTGCCAGGACGTGAGAACCCGCCCCCTTTGCCGGAACTGTCCCATCTTCCAACGGAAATCCAGTTGCCAAACCGGGTGGGAGTGCGTCATCGGTGCGTAATCTGACAGGCCCTGCATCTCACATCACCCCATGGGCACCCCCCCCTCACGTCACATGACCGGCCCGGTCCCACCTTCGCGGACCACAGAACGTGACGCTTCGAATGTCACGTGTCTCGGCGCTGTCAACTTGGTCTCTGGAACACCCTTCTCCCCACGAAGGCTCCAGCACCCTCGCGCCCAAGCTACGCCCCTCCACCCCCACGAAGCGGGGAGGGGACTACTGACTATCCCCTAAGACCTTTTGAGGCAGTGGGTGGTAGGACCCTTGTTGAAATCGGCTTCATTTCTTTTGGGTCCGGGGGTGTGGGCAGACAGAGAACTTAGAATTCGCTGCTGTCAGTATCATGAGACCTTGAAATTTGGAAAATAATAAGATCCAGCGTCAGAGAATTGCAGGGTTTTGTAGGCAGAGAATCTGGGGGTGGAAAGTGACCTCACCCAAGGCAGAAATCTCTTTTCCCGCATACTCCTGGCACAGCCTCTGACAGGTGGGCGGTTGGCGCCCTGCTTGAACACTGCAGTTCCGCTGCACTCACCACCTTCTGAGCATGAGAACATTTCAGGGCAACTAAAGCTGAGAAAAGTGTCTGTATTCTATTGAGCAGTCTGCCCCTTACATCTAACTCCCTGCCTAGCATCGGGGTCTACCCTCTGAAGCCCACAAAAAAATGTGCACACATTCCACATTATAGTGGACTGTGAGCTGTTCAGGTCAGGGCATGGCAGTCTTGTTCTTACCTGAATACCCAGTACCCAGCACATATGGGCCCTCAATAAATATCTGTGGACAGAACTTGAGCCCTTCATGTATCTGAAGATAAAGCTTGTGGTTCCCTAGTCTTGTCTTTCAGGCGTCAGCCTCTCACGGTGACACTGCCCTAGCCCTCTAGATGACCATTCAATGGATATTTATTAGGCACTTATTATAGCACAGAGACTGTTCAAGGGGTCAGAGAAAAATCAGGGCCCTAGAGACAAAATACCTTTCACTTATGAAACTTGCATTATGTAAGAGGAGTTCCCAAGGCCACTCAGTGAGTCTCAGCATTGCCAGAGTAAAAATCAGGTGTCCTGGATTCCAAGGGCTCTTTCCAGGGAACTTACAGTGTCAACCAAAAGAAAGAATGGCCCTTCTCTAGTATGCCCTGGTAAGGAGAATCTAGATTTCCTTTGAGTTGGTGTGGATTTCTGAAAAGTAACTTCATTGTCTCCGGGCCTCCATCTCCCATCTATATGCAATGGGTGGCATAGAGGGATGGGGAAATCATCTTTATGGGTATTCCCTGCTCTAAAGTTCATTGATTATGAGGTTGGAAACTGTAAAATGCTGTCTGATTCTACTCGAAGGGCTTTCATCCTTCTCTTCCCTTCAGAACCCAGCTTGCCTGGGGTTGGGAATGAAGAAGTGAAGATGGTGTGCTGCTCTGATCAACCTACAGGAGGGTTGGAGGGTTTTTCAGGAGGCTAAGCCCTGCCCCTTAGGGTCTCCTGGAGATCATGAAGGAGGATTTCTCCACTCTTGGGTCTTCTATATCAGCCTCTGCCTCCCTGCCTCCTTCCCCTTCTCTCTCTCTCTCTCTCCTACTCTGTCTCTCTGAGTGGGACAATGGAAGGGCTTTTGGACATCTGACTCCCAGTCCTGCATGTGGTCTTAAATAACTCATCGCTCTTCTCTGGGACTCAGTTTCTCAATTTGATAACTTGGTCTCGTAATTTCTGCCTTGCCGAAGGTAAGAATTGAACAGTATCAAATGAGGTGAGAAAGGCTATGGAAAGGTCTTGCGAACTGTCGAGGGTTGCCCCCTCCGTGGAATTTTACGACTGTGGGTTCCAGCTCTCTCTAGGATCACCAGTGGCCCCCTGCCTCTCTGTTGGCCTCTTGATGGTTTGCCTTCTTGGTTCCCAGCTGGGTCTGGAGTTGTTGGTGCCTTTGTTAAATTTCCCAGGATTATGATATTTATTCATTCATATATTGTATTTGTGGTCTCTGGGTGGGATCCCAGGGCTTTGGAATGGTGACTTAAGGTCACAGGAGGCTGGGCTTAAAGCCTCATGGAGTGGTATGGAGAGAGGGTAGGGAGCAGGGACCACATAAGTAGAATGGCTCTGGGGATAGAGTTCTCCAGAGCTGAGTCCTTATCTCTATTTCATGGTTTTGGGGTTATTCCTTTTGGGCCCTCTGAACAACCTTGAACTGTGCATTAAGTATATTGGGTCTTGGATGTATAGGTATTAGGGCTCTGTTTGTGTATTCCTTCCAGTCGTGGGAAGGTCAGGCCCTACCCAGTCCCAAGGCATGGCAGCCCGTTCGGTGCCCCCCACCTGCAGGTCCAGCCTACCAACATCCTACCTATACTGGAACCAGATGACCTGGGCTGGAATTCTAGGTTGTTCCCCTCATCATACAGCTCATGAAGGCAAGTTACAGAACTTAGCTATGCCTCAGTTCCCTCATTTGAGAAATGGGAACAATAATGGTACCAACCTTGTAGGATTAAATGAGATGATATATGTAAAGTGAATAGAATGGGGCCTGGTACGGAATAAATGCTATAGAAGTGTTTGCTGCTTTTCTATGGCAGTGATGATGATGATTATTACTCCGAGGGGGTGAGTGGCCCCGGTTTCTCCGCAGGGATTCCACTCTGCTGCCTGTCCAGGGTCTCCTCCTGCTTTCCAACTCCTGCACCCCGCTGTGCTTCAGGTGCAAGGCTGGAGGCCTTGCCAGCTTCTCAGGTCTCTCATGTCTCCACCTGGATCTGTCACACCATATATTTTCTTATACTTTTTATATTTATTTTCTATATTGTCTGTTTTCACCCCTCCTCTCCACCTAACCAGAATGGAAGCTCCGCGAGGACAGGGTTTTTCACCTGTGCTATTCACTGCTGTGTCTCCAGGACCTCCAACAGTGCCTGGCAAATGGTAGCTGGACAATAAATATTCATGAATGAATGGAATTATTGTTTTTATTTTTTTTAAAGATTTATTTATTTAACAGACAGAGATCACAAGTAGGCAGAGAGGCAGGCAGAGAGAGAGAGAGGAGGAAGCAGGCTCCCCACTGAGCAGACAGCCTGATGTGGGGCCTGATCCCAGGACCCTGGGCTCATGACCTGAGCCGAAGGCAGACGCTTTAACCCACTGAGCCAACCAGGTACCCCAAATTATTGTTTTTAAATTTAATATTTATATAGCATTTACTATGTGCCAGGCACCAATATAAGCACATTGTAAATATTAACTCATTTAATTTTCATAGCAGTTCTGTGAGGTAAGTACTATTATTGTCCTCATTTTACAGAGGAGGAAACTGAGCCACGGCAGTATTAAGTAACTTGCCCGAGGTTACACCCTAGCAAAGGGGAGAGTCAGGATTTGAACCCAGAAAGTAGAGGTCTAGGTTCTGGGCTCTTGTCCACTCCACTATGGTCCAAGGAAAGCATGGGCTAGGGGCGGCTCCCTGTGTCCACTTACCTTTGGGAACTTGCTGCCACCTATTGAGGTCCTGCTTTAGATCAAATGTGGGGAGGAGAGGGGAGGACTTTACCTGCAAGATTGAGCCTTTTCCCCTCCCCATCACAGGGTCTCTCTTCCTTTTTTTTTTTTTTTTTTAATATTTTATTTATTTATTTACTTATTTGTCAGAGAGAGAGAGAGAGAGCGCACAAGCAGGGGGAGTGGCAAGCAGAGGGAGAGGCAGGCTCCCTGCTGAGCAAGGAGTCCGCACGGGACTCTACCCCAGGACCCTGGGATCATGACCTGAGCAGAAGGCAGACACATAACCAATGAAGCCACCCAGGTGTCCCTCACAAGTTCTCTCTTCCACACCTGCTGGGTAGGGCTGACTGCTGGGAAGTTGTTTGCCTTCTCCCCACTCCCCAGGAGCAAAGACATCTGTGCATGTTTGGCATAAAGGGCCTCTGTTTATCCTACAAGTCTCTGAGGTGGTTTTTGTGCCAAGCCCCAAGGCCCACAAAGAGGAAGCCCCCACAGCTCTCTTTTCATGATTGTGTTTGTGGCCTGACCTTGACCACTCCCAAGAGTTCCATCTGAGAACCTCTCTTCAGACACTACACACATTCTTGTGGCTTTAACTGGCATGCATGGGCTGCCTCCCAAATCCCTATCTCCAGGCTCAAATTTTCTCTTGAGCTCCAGATCCCTGAATCCACTTGTCTCCTGGACATCCCTTCGTGGGGGTCCCATAGGCACCTTAAATTCAACATGTTTCAAACAGGATGCATCGTCTCCCCCTGAGAATCTCATAAGCTAGCTTCTATTTCTCCTGTTGCCTCTCCATGTGGGATACTCCTGATCACATGTGCCATAACCTTGGCCTTGAACTTCATTTTAAAAGTGATGGATCACACAATTTGTCAGCCTAAGCCCCCCTAAAAATACCAGAAGAAAATATGGGCAAAATCGTTTATAACTCTTGGAGTGAGGAAGCCTTTCCAACTCCAACTCAAAAGTCAGAAGCTATAAAAGATTAATACGTTTGTCGACATGGAAAAAAATCTGCATGGTTAAAAAAAATCAAAGCAAAATCAAAAGACAAACAAACTAGGAAAAAGTATTTGCAATTCTTATCATATACAAAGGGTAATCTCTCTACTATTTAAAGGTCTTCCTCATATTGATAAGACCAACAGTTTAATAAAAAATAGGCAAAGAACATGACAGATCACAAAAGAGAAAATACATAAGGCCTTAAACACATATGCAGATATTCAACGTCACACATAATGAGAGAAATGAAAAGACGATACTGAAATGCCTTTTTTCCTTTATTGCATTAGCAATAACCCATAAGTCTGACGAAACACTCTTTTGGCAAGACTGTGGGGAAACAGGGACTTTCACCCATTGTTGGA